ACATACATTACACAATATTCTATTAGGCTACTTACAAACATACATTACACAATATTCTATTAGGCTACTTACAAACATACATTACACTATACTCTATTCTGAATAAATTTCACAAGATGTTTCTCACATTACAACATTTCGCAAATATCACTGTTCTTTGTAAAAGTATTAAAATGGACAAATATAAAACTAACGCTTTAATAGAAACGAGAAATAATTAGGGTATCATACTTCAAAAAATACTCTACCTTGAGACTAGCTTAAGTCTTTGAAGACGGTAACGGTTAAACCACAAAACAACAAAAAGTTTTCTCTTTTTTTAACTTTTAATCTGTTTTCTGGATTTCATTATTCTCGGTGATACATGAAACAACTGGAGATTGTTGGTAGTGATGTGTTTTGTTCTTCTTACATACTAAACGAAAAACCCTCTCCAGAAACTCTTGTGTTTTCAGTGTTGAGAAGAAAATAATTCGAAGCTCTTAAAAAACTAGTTGGAAAGGAAGTACATAGAAATACTTATGAAAACAACTCCAAGTTTCTCCGAGTCATTCGTAGTGAAGTTTGCTCATTGTGAGGTATAAAAACACATTCTTTAATCATGCAAGGAAATACAAAGTATGTTTTCATCAAACACTTTATAAAGGTTTGCCGTGAATACCAATCATTGGCTTAGAAGAATCAAATAAATTTTACAGTAACCAATTAAGTGTTAAGAACTTTTCAAGATGACTACTTGCTTTAAACTACGCTGGTCGTCTATTAATTGTTAAATAAGATGAGTTTTAAAATACTACTTGCTTTCAAAGAGATTGATAATATCTTAATTGTTAATAATGATTAAAAGACTGCTCACTTTAAGAACATTAATAATCCTTTAGTTATTAATAAAATGTATAAGAAAGACTTCATATTCAGGAGATGCAAGTAATCGACGGTTATTAATAAAATAAATCACAAATACTACTTACTTTGAAATATGTTGGAAATCAAGGATCGTTCATATTTACGAACGCCGACTATCATTTGAGTAAAAGGAGACTTTGGTAATGGTTGGAATGTCCACAATGATAGGTCAGTTACGACGACTTACTTTAGGAAAAACTGGAAGTTGGTGGGTTGGTAAAAAATCTAAATATCTAACTTACCTTTGGAGCTCTTGGTATTCGATTGGTTTATAACCTTCTCCGCGTTAAATATTTAACTTACCTTTGAAGCTCTTGGTATTCGATTGGTTTATAACATTCTCCGCGCTAAATATCTAACTTACCTTTGGAGCTCTTGGTATTCGATTGGTTTATAACATTCTCCGCGCTAAATATCTAACTTACTTTTGGAGCTCTTGGTATTCCATTGGTTTATAGCCTTCTGCGCGCTTATAATTTCCCACTCCCGCCATATAGAAGGATGAACTAAAAAGAAAAAGAAAATCCTCGTGACATTATTATTCGTAACATTCTAAAAATTATAACATTAAACAACTCCCAGTTTTAACGCGTGACGTAGAATTGTACAATAATTGGATAATCCTACATTAGTTTGAAGTGGTCTCAATCAGCGTCTGAACACATTTAACAGCCACGTCTTTTACAAACATTAAACAACTCCCAGTTTTAACGCGTGACGTAGAATTGTAAAATAATTGGATAATCCTACATTAGTTTGAAGTGGTCTCAATCAGCGTCTGAACACATTTAACAGCCACGTCTTTTACAAACTATCCGAAGATATAATAGAGTAAAAACTATCCATTACAATAAAACAATATTTTAGCATTTTATTCTATCTCTAGTTTTATTTGGTTGGGCTATCTGTTCTATGTCCTCCATGGGTATCGAAACCCGGTTTTTAGTGTGGTAAGCTCCCACAATTACCACTGTTTTTGTAAGGACTATCTACAAAGTATAAAACGTACCACAAATATATTATTTACCCTTGATTTCGATATATAGTTAAAAGAAGGATTTTTTATTATTATTTAAAATACGTACCTCATCTTGGCTTTTTTGGAACCTTCGAAATGTAATAATTTGTAGTGGTTACTTGTATCTTCCTTTAGCTTCCTGTAACCAGCAGATATTTTTAAGATAATGGCATGAATAAAGTACTTTATTACAAATTAGCTCATATAAAACATTTAAGACTTATTTCAATATTAGCTTGCTTTGATGCTTTCAACAAATGCAATAATTCAATAGCGATAGTCATTATAATCAATTTTATTATATCCATTATGGATTAAAATATTCTCAAACCTACATATATATCTGCAATGTTAAACTGATTCAGTGTTCTTCCAAACACAACTTAATCGTCAAGCTGTCGTGCTTGTTGTTTCGTTTTCCTTTATGAAATGATGGATCTGCCTTATAAACACCAACGGCCTTTAAAACGATATGAAGTAAGGCAAGAAAACTTGAGACTGTAGGTTTGAAAGAATCTTAATCCATAACAAGTAAAGATTACGATCGAATAGAAACAATAACTCACTTCTCTATGTCAGCTTTAGAGAGTTCGTGTAGTTTTAGAGTAGAATGGAGGACGAACATCTGGTTTGTTTTCAAACGGAATATCTGAAAAACAACAACAGGATCAATTTTTTATGTCTTTTAAATATAGTGTCAACGTTACTAAATGTTAAAAACACACGTGTTTAAACCATTATAAGTTAATATAGTGTTTTGCTAGAAGTCACACACACTATAGTGTAGCTTCATTACACAACAACTACATCAACGAAGTTTCATCAAGCACGGATGGGTGGCCCACAGACAGTTTGAAATAAAGTAATTTATCACAGTTAAATATTACATATTTCATTGTATTATCTTATAAGAAAGATAACCAATTGTTGATAACGCCTTGGTGTATTTTCATACATACATGTGGATTATCTTGTACACAAAAATGTTAGAAATAGGCTATAGAAGCATGGTGATCTCATACTTCCACTGTACGTTTAACTAAAGTACCATTACTTTAGAATGTGGTGTTACAGATCTACTAGCTACGTAAAGCAGACAAGGTAACAGACGTCATATCTAAGCAGTGACTCCAGTACAACAAATCTGTATTAAAACGTAACCCCAAACTTAAACATTCTGTGATTGTTTACTTTTAACACTGCAACCAGCACAAGAGTCAATTAAACCTAGAAATTTGCTGTAAAAACATGGACATCATTCTATTTACAGACGGTGTAACTTACACTACATATGTAACTTCAATATTCATGTGCTATCGAGGAACAAAGAAGACCGCTGCCTTCTTGGAGGTACATAATTAAAAATACTGAAAATTTTGTAAAACTTTGGTGATTAAACATTACATATATGGAAAACGTTTCTATAGAATCTTCTTCTGAAGGTAAACAACGATACGTAATGTTTTCTTCACATTTTACTCAACCATAACTTGGAATAAACACTTACCACACACACTGTGCTATTGCTATTACACATGGTAATCCTAAGGCAGGTCAAAAATACATTCATAGTTCTGGTAGATGTATCATAATTTTCTGAATATATTTATTTTGCTACAATAATATCGACTTACTAAATGAAATATTTCATGCTCTATCAGTTTTCGTCATATTAACATTTTTCTAAGTTTTAGATGCAATTTTTTCTTAGAAAAAACCTAACACGATACATTACCAGTAATTTACTAATGTGTAAATTTAACAAAAAGATCCCGATATGTATATATTAGTTTACATAGATTTTTATAGAGTCCTTCCATCCTTTGGAGTCTTCCATAACGACAGTGAAGTCTGTCTGGAATGAATCGTCGGCAGTAACGTCAGCAGTTGGAAATAGTAGTCCGCTTTTCTGTGTGATATCGAATTTCGTCTCTTTCTTGCTTTCATTGATAGAAAATGTTAATTGTCCTTCTTGTTCAGGTGTTCCCGAGTACTGAAGAAAGAGAAAAAAGAAAGATTCGTTGGTTTAGGAACTTAAAACAAATTTAAAATGTTTGTTTTATATGTTAATGTGGGGATTTGGTTGGGTTCATAATTTTTGATACATAAAAATTATAAGAACTGTTTATGAAAAATAAAGTTCTGGCATTTTTATACACCAAACATTGTTCCCAAATTACATGCTGGATTAGTTGCCCTGGCATGTATTGATATCAAGCATTTCTTTTTTAAACGTTTATTTAATTTACAATGTTATTTTTTAATACGGAAATACACAAAGACCAGTAGCATGATTTAAGTTCTGGCAGACTATAACAGTTTTAGTCTGGTTCTTCTTATTTATTACTTGGTGAACATTTAGCCAAATGGCTTTAACTATCATATTATATAGCATCAAATATATTGTACATAGGTTTTAGGATTTACATTTCAATATATACTCTATTATCAAAACCTTTTGACATTTTGAAATGAAACTTTGCCCTGTATTCCGTTTGTCCTAGTGTTTTAATAAAGTGATATACAAATTTATTTAATACAAGATGATTACCTTCAGTTGATATACGTAGTCACTGAGTGGTTGCCATGGTTCGTATACCAATACAAGCGGTTTCATGTGAAGAAACTTCGGAGAACCATGCAGGGTTATGATAACAACTGCTTCGTTACTTTCAACTTCTGGAATATCTGAGGGAGAAAAAAAAAATAAACTAAAATCTGGAACATAGCTTAAAAGTATGTTACAATTTCCTGCTACTATCGTATAAAACCTTGTACAAAGTATGTTTTTCTGTATGAAAGAATGGACCGAAATAGTTATGGTGTATTGAAGTCGGAAATATCGAACAAACAAGAATAACGCTTTCATAATGTTCTTTGTACTTTTAATGTGAATTCTAATTATTTTCGTCATGAATGGGAAAATGTTATCTAACCGACTGAAATTTATTAACTCGGTTTTTGTTTAAATATAGGATCAAGTGTAGAATATTCACAAGAGTTAACTTACTGTGAAGTGTTAACTTAACAATACACAGCTATCTGTAAAGTATTAACTTAGGAATACACAGCTATCTGTAAAGTGTTAACTTAGGAATACACAGCTATCTGTAAAGTGTTAACTTAGGAATACACAGCTATCTGTAAAGTGTTAACTTAACAATACACAGCTATATTTGATCAAAATCATTCTACTTCATAAAATAAGAAAGGCAAGTTGTAATGTTTCGATAAGTTATTTCATGTGAGTTTATTTAATAAAGAACACACAGTCATGAGTAATTAAAGATAACACAGACCTGCGAACTTAAACTTCGTAAAAATTGTTTTGGTTTTATTAACGGATTTTCCATAATTCAGCTACGTAGACTTCGAAACTAATAGTTATTTTTTTCTATCACGTAAGGATTTTTTACAAATCGGGAAGAAAATAAAAACTCTTACTTAGATCAAATTATTATTCCGTTTACCACAGTTAATATTTTTTATTATTATGTTTGTTAACAAAAATGCAGCCAATCCGAAGAAAATGGAAGAACAGTGACGTCAAACGAATATGCATCCTCATTCATCCTGATTTTTTGTGAAATATACGTCTTTTAGTCTCAAAACTACGTCTTCTGATCTTTCTTTTATGTATTGCGTTATGACGCTTTGTGAAATATCTGTACGTGATGGAGAAAAATGGATATCATTTTCGGATTCAGCGTACATGAGTTACTGTAGAACATGTAAAAAATTCAAGACAATAAAACCATCGCAGGCTTGTGTAATCAGAGATATCCTAGCCTTATGAAACTCAAAATTATGGCAGCTTAAGTAAGAAACTAAAGCTACAGAAGAGATGTTTGTTTAATATTCGAAACAATATTCCCGGTTTGTGAGATTATAACACCAGATTAGGACACTGTGTTGTAATTACTACAATCTTATTTCCAGAGAACAATAATTAATTCTAGACTTCGCTTTAACCCTATCCCTGTCATGTGCATCACGTGTACTTCATAGGGCGTAATGCTAAAGCGCCTGAGTATCATATGTGATGCACAACTACATTTGATATGCAACTGATACTCTTGAACGTGTCAACAGAAACTGAATGTTTTGGTCAAACGTATCGAGATTAGAAGACAGCTTCATATGAGTATCACGCTTAAAGCGAACGTGAATGATGATAGGTCAAGTTACTTTCACTCAAGGGAATGTGTGAACCGAGGATAAATACAACAAATTGTTTATTGATTACCCATTACACTAATTTACCAACAAACGAATAATGGGTAGGTAATCAAATAAGTACATCCATAAAAACCATTAAATGGCCTAAAGCAGGGAAAGGGTTAACTTTGTGAGAAAATTAGTTCGATTGAGCGAACTATTTTCAAATGCGAGTACCAGTACGACAGAGACTTCACGACCACTTTATCTAACAATAACATAAAGCCCATGTACTATGAAATAATAACAAACATACCTACAGCTTGAACTCTTTGTATTTTAGGCACGATCTTCATAGCCGTAATTAGTAAAACAAATTTATCGTCAAGTGAAGAATTGAGTGGTTTCTTTAGGATCACTTGTCCCTGGCCGTCGATGTCAAAATATCCTGTGAAAAGAAGGCAATCGTATAAGGAATAATTAAATTATTACTGAAAATATATATCAATAAATCAGATAGACTAGGCCTACTTCCTGTTTGATAATACTGATTTAGAGTTTTATTAATGAATTCATAATAATTTTTGTAACCATCACTTTCTTTAAGAACATGTAGATCTTTAAAGAACTGATACAATAACTACATCACTAGTATAAATTTAAAAACCGCTAATGCTGAAAGTTTATTACACTATGATATGTAGTTGACTAGTACGATGAATAGTTTCCAATATTTGTTCATTTTTTACTACATAACATGAGAGAGTGGAAGTTACTGGAAATCGAAGAAACATCTTCCATCTTGTTTTTTAAGTGCCTTTCGCAAGTGCTGATTACAGTTGATCAACAAGAGAAGAATGTAGTTTGTGTTGATCGATAGGCCTTCGCTAACCTGGTGGATAAGAAGGAAACGAGATAACATAGAACGATAATCGTACCATTTTCGTTTCCCGATTTGATGGTGTACTTGGTATTAACTGGGGGTATGATATCGAAGTCGTGCCTCAGTTGAACTATCACTCTTGGAGAAGATGCATCGGAACTTATAGCCTCTTTGTAGACACATTTTGAAAAGAGTTTGACGTCAGCGCCACATCTGCCTACTAAAAACACAACCTGAAAAACAGTTCATCCGATAAATAAAGGATTGTGGAATGCCATTTCACGAAATTAATTTCCACGTTATAAATGTCGACTGTTTATCATATCATTATGAAAACAAGCTGTAATGTTTGTTTACTTTCGTAGAAAAAGTTAGCCAGTGTTATAGTAATTAACAACTGTAGATATGTAATTATTTTAACATATTTAAGGATGGGTAGTCTCCTTTCCTTCAAAGAACGGATTTTAAGCTGATGGTACAACAATGCAATGCATTGAAAATCATTTAACACAGAGATTTGTCTATTCAATGACGACTTAGTTTGGCTGACGACATCTGTTTGTTTGTTTTTGTATTTCGCGCAAAGCTACACGAGGGCTATCTGCGCTAGACGTCCCTAATTTAGCAGTGTAAGAATAGAGGGAAGGCAGCTAGTCATCACCACCCACCGCCAACTCTTGGGCTACTCTTTTACCAACGATTTTATAATGTGACGATCAATCCCACTCGCCTCCACGGCTGAAAGGGTGTGCATGTTTGTGGTGACGAGGATTCGAACCCGTGAACAGCAGATTGCGAGTCGAGCGCCCTAACCATCTACCCATGCCGGGCACCTTGCAGCTCTGATCTTTCTGTTTTCAATTGCATGTTTTTGTTGATCTGAAGGATGATACTGAAATGTATTTTTTTTTAACTTAGTTATGTAATTGCTCAATCTGTTCAATCTATATTACTGTTTACACGAAGAAAGTTAGCGAAGCAAAAAAAGTAATTTTTGATGAAAAAATCGAAATGAATAAACTAATAGGAATGTGGAAAAAATCTTTCGTTTACAATTTTATTTATTTTTTTTTCATTTTGGTGATATTGTTAGAAGTATTATTAGCCAAGAAACACATATTGTTGCTTGTTCAAATCAATATTATCATTATTGTTATTTCGTTCCAATTTATAAATTTCAATTTTAATACATGACGACACGGGTTTGTATATTTGTAAATATATTATTTTCTTCCCAAATAAGTTGAGCTTTGCGATGGACACACTGATGTAAGTGAAATATCTAAACGTTAATATTATAAAATATACCGGGCAGAGCACAGGTAGCCCATTCTGTAGCTCTGTGCTTAACTTAAAAAAGCCCCTAGTGGCAGAGCGGCATGTCTGCGGACTTAGAACGCTAGAAACTAGGTTTCGATACCTGTGGTGGGCAGAGCACAGATAGCCCATTGTGTAGCTATGTGCTTAATTCCAAACAAACAAATCTTTAAAAAAATGAAATATACTATTAGTCTTAATTACCGTTTTTGAAAATAAGTGTTAAAAATTGGTAAAACACACGTCTATAACAAATGCTTAATTATTATTTGCAACGTTTCGGGTAGGAGCCTTTTACCAGACAGTTTAAACAGTGTTGCATAGAAAAAAGGCTTAGACAGAATCGCTTAACGTACATAACCACGTAATAATGTTGCTGACAGAGGCATTGATGTTGAGCGCATGTTCAAACAATATTATCAATAATACTGGAAAACTGTGAATTCACCTAGTTACGGGTAAAAACCTCAAGCTGCTTTATACTAAAATTTATAGCGAAAAACAAGTTTGCAATATTTATTTTGGCCTAATATCACTTTGTCATCTGACCTTTCCGCATCTTAGAATTCTGAAACATTTTTTCATACTCACGTAATCATCCAATTACATTAGGTAAGAAGCAAATGTAAAATATCACGTTTGGTGATGAAATGCAATATCGCCACCATTGCCAATTCGTGTACGGCCAAAATCTAGTTAGGCTTAATACAGTTTATGAAAGAGCTAAGTTTTCTCTAG